AAAAACGTGGCAAATCCGCAGCGATTTGGTGGAGAGGGTGTTGGCCTAAGTGTTGGTAATCACAAGTCAAATGTAGACACGATTTGTAGTAGTAACAGTGGTAGCGCCTTCTTCTTGTATGAGTGTAAATTTTGTTGTAACCTTGGAGCAACTCATTTGGAAGGTCTTGCTAGTGTGCTCAGTGCTTTGGAACACGTTAACACGTTAGCAGTAAGCGTCACACATGTGTGACACGTGTTCTTGACTGATTTGTAGCAGGCGTAGTTACATCTATTTGTGCTAAAAATAGACTGGTTATGCCTAAAACAGTAGAAGATGTTAAATTCTGTTCTTGATTTTAGAATAATCACGTTTTCTGTGCCTGAGGGTTATCTGTCCTGTGGTGAATGTGCGGAATCCGTTGAGCAAACGAATTTGTTGAAATTGTCTCTGGTTCAGCTGTAGAATGGTCGCAAATGAAGGGTGGGCCTTTAACCTCGTAGGCTATCCAGACTTTGCACTTTCGACTACCACCTTGAGGGCCTTGGCTTGCCCTTGGAAAGACATGCTAACAACCCTTCTCTGACGTGGCCCTAGAGACCTTGGTCCAGGCGGTGAAAATGTGCCTTCGTATTAAAGTGCCCTGATATTTGACGCAGTCATATTCACAATATAGGGATTGTCAACTGCTCCACCTGAATTCACTTCGTCAAAGTTCACGAGCTTCAACCATTCCTATTGTGCACCCTCTGATATAAACTCCTTAACTACTTTACTTAGTATTAATATTTTCGGACAACTACCGCAATCTGCTATCAAGGCCTGTTTACCCTCCCCCCTTCCTGTTGTTAAATATGACAAGTTGGTGATTTCCGGCACAGATCGTTCACTTAACTTTCTTTTTCTGCCCTCCTTAATTGCAAGACAGTCTGTAGATCTCTGATGATTACGCCTACAGGCTCGCATTTTGTCAGATAAGGTGTCGCATTACTCAACTTTGATGTTGTGCCGCCATCTGCTCTCCTTTGCCCCCACCGGCCCTCACGTTCGACCACTTCACCCGAATGTCGTGCGTCCTGGATAGGCGCCAGTATCACCTCCTCGATTAAGCTGATACAATTACTGTGGTGGCGGTGGTGGGGTTGTGCAAATAAGTTCGATCAGTGGCACTTCCTACTCTTGACTGCTGTTTGATTTACCCACCTGGTGCGGATAAACTAGTTAAGCTAAATTTGATCTTTCAATTGTCTTTTATTTGAAGTTTTTAATAAAAAAGTTTAATAACACGGATTCTGAGGGGATAAAGTCGACCGCTACAGTCACTAAAGATGTGCTCTATTCGAAGGTGTCGCACAGAGATGTGTCCGGCTCAAGAACATCTTCCTGTATCCGTTTGACTGTCAGAACTCAAGTTAAAGATCTTAATGATCCTAATTACCTCTTAAGTTGAATGTGTTTCTGTAGTGCTGGTCCTTCAGCTCTTTCCCTGGCAAAAAGGGACATTGGTCTGGTCATCAATTAATTTCTCCACGACGCACTTTTTCCCAGCAATTGCCGAGTTCCGACATAAAACATACTTGATGGGTCAAGGGCTTTACATTAGTTAGCTCCCCTGGATCCGCAATTCATTCTCTCCTTTGACAAAGCCACTTTTAAACCCATTGACACTTTGTCCTTACTATTACAGTCCTTTTGAAGTCACTTTACACCTCTCCCCGCTTGAAAACACCGTAGTTCCCTACCCTTACCTGCTTCTAAATGTTTTGCACTATGTTGAACGATCTCAGTCACCGCCTTGACTTTGGACTCCCTTTTGGGGATGGAGGTCGCAACCACACCTTTCCAGGTGAGGATAAATTTGGTGCGTACAGAACAAGAAAAACACAAAGCGCATCATCTCAACAAAATCCATCTCTTCCCTTCCAATCTGCCATAAGGATTTTGTCTATCATATTTGGGAAGAGAAGGAAAGCATGAATCTGCCTCCATTTATAAAGGGATAAAAACCTATCAAATTTTGATGGAAAAGATTCCTTTACTCTAAAAAATGTAATTCTTTAGTCAGAGGAGGTGTACTAGGTGCAAATACGTTATATTAATTGTTTTGTACTTTTTACCTCCAGTTTCAGGAGCATGGAACGAGGAGTTTGGCTTGAAGAAGACATCTCACATTCTCATGGAGAGACCAGTGCTTGTCTCCTCCCTGGGGATCGCTGACGTCCGCTTAGCCACGAGTTTACTGGCCCCATAAACAATTCCACTTGGAGTAGTTTGTCTGCCAAAAATAATCATAAGACTGGAATAAGGATGGGCTCTATCAAGGAGTCCATTTGACAACACAAAACGTCACTAGATGAACGAGGCCTGTCCAACGAGGTAAAGCTGTGGCTAGCCAAAGGCAGACAGCCCTGAAAGGTGGCTTTACTCCGCCTATCTATGTGCCACGTGATTTGAGCTGAGGCTGGGCTGAAAACTAACCCACCGCAGTGGAAGAGGTGAATAGATCCACTTCAAACTCCTCGAATAGGGGCCGCGGTAAGGTCAGACGTACGTTCCTATTCCACCGAAAGAGAGGTAATGAGGTCCAATCTAACAGAGGCTGAAGGAAGTCAATTAGATGGATGAATCGCTTAATTACTTGAAAACAAATGTACCCACATTTTTCCTCTCTTTCCCGACGGTTTGTAGAGCAAACTCAACTTCTCTTTCGTCAAATTTTACACTCCTTTTCCTCCCTTTCTTTGCATGCTTCCTCTCAGAGGAGGCGCTTGGCAGGTCGTTAAAAAAGACCATCATTTTTCCCAGTAAAGCCCATCTTGACAGACGCTGCGTTGGCATTTGGCAAAGCCAAAAAACATTTTTTTATGCCCTCCCTCACCTGTCTATTCAGGCGCGGAATATGCGTTTAGGATTGGTGAAGTGAGTGAGTGACATTAAGAATTTATTTCTTAACTTAGGAGGAGAAAGAAAGGAAGGAAAACTAAGATAGCATCCTTCATCTTTTGGAAAAGAGCCTCAAAAGTCGGTTTGATGTCTTTCACCACTACTGCATTCTTAAAACGGATACAGGATGGGTACGCGATAGGGGACAAATGGAGGGAAGAACGACCAATGGGCAAATGGAAAGAGGGAGGGACAAAGTTTATAAAACCAGAAAAGGCCAAACAGTAAATCAAAACAGACAGCTACAATCACACTAGTGAATAAATGGTTTGATGGGTGGAAAGACAACAGGGCAAGAATTTGGGTAGACAGGCTTTCATCGGGACAAATGACGCTGTGAATGAAAGGATAAGGGAATGGACGGATTGTCAGAGGCATGGTAGATGTTTCAAGGACGACAGAATAAAGTATTTATGGATAGATAGACTGCGACTTTATTTAATTTGAAAATAGACACCCACTCACCAGCTATGCGTGATTAATCAAGCACAAGGATTTTAACAACCCTCTCCTCCATCCTATAGGGAGTTGTATGTGTAGACAGCAACATATTGACAAAGTACACAGTGCTGATGGAGTTGTAGTGTTAGCGGTAAAAAAATTGAAGTCTTTGATGTCTACCCGACTCAGTACACCTTCACCTCCGTACCACCTTGACGTCCCCCGCCCCCTCCTTATCCCGCTGTCCTTCTTCTGCGGTGCCAGCAACAAAACAGCACAACTGTTGTGCCAATTAATGTACTTCCCTTTGAAGGGTAGTGCTGTGTTGTGCTGTTCTTTTGCTTCTGATACGGCAGACAAATGACTTTTATGAGAAGACCAGACCGGGAGGGTGGAGAGTGTGCATCTCATCTACCATCCCTGGCATGATTCAGTGCCTTCGCTTTCTGACAAATCGAGGCCTATTGCAATCGCTCCTGTCAGATGACCTTTTAAACTTTTAAACATTTATTTTGTATGAGTCCTTCAATCCCCACGGTTTGGTTTTGTGTCCTCCTGACTATGTTTTTAGCCTATTAACCGCTATGGAGGTTGAGATTAAGCCACATTCCATGGAGATGTGCTCTCAGAGATGACTTGGGCCTCTACATTGATAGCAGTGGCAAGCAGTTCCAGTTCAGGTCAACAAAGAGGCCGATTTTGTTGACCGAAGGATGGAGGATAAATACATAAATGCTGTTCACCTTCGGCAACTAATCTGATTTTTAGTTCCGTGTAGGTGGACCGAGACTTCAGGAAAGGTTTTCTGGACGTGATGGTCTTAAGCGTTATAGACTCCTTCCTCATTCTTCTCAAAGGTAACTTCCTCCTGAAAAAAAATATTTGTTGAACTGCAAAAAATGTCTTCAGACCTTTACACTACTACAGAAATGAATTCCTATATGATGCGGTTCACCCCGAAGAGACAGGGAGATTCAGGAGTTTGAGCTCGATTTACGCAAACAACTCCACTGTTGAGCTAGAGCTTATCATGAGGTCTTCGTTATCGGTGCTGAAGCCGACAAGCAACCACAGAGGGCTTTTGAAACCCCACTCTGTTGAAGTGAGACCGTAAAGAAATGGACAGGGTAATCGTAATATCCCTACAATACCTTATGGAGAAGCCAGAGCCTTCAACGAAGGCTATAGCAACAGAGCTAGAGACTGGTGAGCTGTTGACAATCGCCCCTACTGTCCACGACTGCCTTCGACCTCCGTCCAGACTTCTCGCGTAGATGTAGCTGTGCTGTGCTGAGTGTCACAAACTTTTCAGCCCTCGGTTGCCCTCCGCTCTAGGGGGCCACTCTAAGCTTGGACCACCACTATATGAAGCTTCATATTTCAAAATCCGACACCATTGTTCTTCTCTCGTCCCATATCTGAGGAGAGGATACTTTTTCCCTCAGATGTCTTTTCAGCTACAAAAAATATGGTGGATGTAGGTGGGTAAATTATAGACTTAGACCGTGAGGCGCAACTGATAAGTCGTGAAGCTAATTACACGTCTTGAGGAGGTCCACCTACCCGAGGTTCGGTTCGCCTGTTTCCTTCGTCGTGGGTGTCTGCATAAAACTAACTTTGTCTTCCCCCTCCTTCACTCCACTCCGGATTAAAAGCGAAACAATTCCATGGCCACGTCTGCAGAAGAGCTGAAATGTCTAATTAGCTTCATTCCATCGCTTTCCTTGAGAAGGAATTTTCGATACTGAGGGTTAACCGGAGGTGGTGTTGGCTTGGTTTAGACGGAGCGACCCTAAAAAGGCAGCGGTTTGATTATTTAAGGCGATTTTTTTATTCATTTTAGTAAAACAGAGGACATTGAGCTTTGCCGTTACACTTCCTCTATCCGACATGACCTCCAGACTAGGCCGATGGCCCTTCGGCTCTTCTGTGTACTAGTAATATACCTTCCATCAAGCTTCTATGACTTTTTTAGACTTCAGATTAGCCTCAGGCGCGTCATTCTTTCCAAACCCAATTACTTGAGTCTCCTCGCTTCCTCGATGATAACACAATCGCTGACAGGCCTCTTGAAAATGATACTACCGTTAGTCAGTCTCCATGTCTTGTTGCACCGTTCAGTTTGTGCCAAACGGTGCCTTTTGATCTTGCATCCCCTCCTCTTTCCCACCCCCGGGACAGGATGTGTATAACTTAAATTACAACACAAAAAGCGGACCTCGCGTTTACACAACATCCTTTATGTTTGAAGAAAACATGGCAGATAGGATTTCGGGGCTTTGAACTTTCGAGTGTCTGCCGAAGAGGGCGGCTGAGGGTAGGACGAGGGAGAAAAATTTTAAAATTGAGTGAAAAGTAATAATAAATTAGTTAAATTTTATTGTAAAGCACCAAGCCTTTTCTGAAGGCGAAAGAAGACGCAATATTATGAAGGAATATGCATTGTCGAGGTAGATGAGGGTTGAGGGGCTACCGGCATGACCGAGAGTCTATGTTACTTAGGAGAAATACAAAGGAGGAGCCTTGAGTGGCTGCATAACCAAAACGAAGAGCTGAATAAACGATTAGGGTATTACATTAGTTTCTCCCTCCTCTTTTGAGTGTCGCCCTCGGCGCTTCCTTTGGTCAACTTGCCACGTGGAATATCGCAGCGCATTCTGTGCTGTCGGAAAGATTCGCACGAGCCAACTATGACATTAATTGAATATCCATGCAACTGAGATGATGCCTGACCTCAACGACACTAATCCCTCTTGGCAATTTCACTGGATCCGGGGTATCGTCCTGTTTGGGAACTGTATTGAGAGAGAGAGGGAATGAGCAGACCATCGTCTACTTCCATCTCTAGACGTAAGAATGCAGACTATGAGGAAGGAGTTTAGAATTGTTTCGTTCCTCGTTGCCACGGTTTCTCATTGCAATCTATCCAGCTAGTAGAGGAGGCATAAGTATCACGTAGTCACTTAATGGACATCCTCATCCAGTTACCGTGGACGTCCCAGATGGCCCACGGCCACGACTGGTGTCGCTTCAGTTGTTAGAAGCCTTCCTACGGGTCATGGGAATGGATTAGTTGCTGAAGGTAGCCGCCAATTTTAATCCTTTTATTAGGAGTCTTTATAAAGGCTTTGTTGACCCCGTAAAGTTTGATGGGGCAAATCCCTTCCTCCACCGCCTTCAAACTAGCCTCAGCCCCTTAAAATTGATGAGAGAAATCTCCCAGCCTGATTGACTTACCAGTAAAATAATAAATGTGTTGAAGAATTTCATGATTCATTTAAACGAAGGGGGAGAGATTATACTATGCGGGTACCGGCATACCTTATGGGTTGAATCTGGTTCAAAGGGGTGGGGTGGCCTGGAGTAATAATAAACCTAGAGATGGCCGCTGAAGATAGGCAGGTAGTTTGTGAAGGTAAGACGGCGACTTCCGGAATCAAGAGCTCAGCTTGTTGACCGGACGTCAGTCTTTTGATAGAGGAGCACAATTAGCCATAAAATTCAGCTTGGCTCCATTTTTGGAATCATCATCATAAGAACCGCGCTAGAGGGAGAACAAAGGAGGGGAGAAATTATCCAAATAACTCCTCCAAGGCTTGAGAGGAGTGATTTACGAATTTTGTCGACTTCCCTTTTGGCCAGAATAAGCTTCAAAAATCTCTTGAACTACTGCGTTGGCTGTTCAGGTGTCAATCATTCATGTTTGGTGCGTGCAGACAACCTTGAAGTATTGGAATTAGATTTGGAGGTTATCTCTTCCCCACCTCCTCAAACGACTTAGTCCGAAGGGTTTCTAATCAAACGGTTGAAGAGGTTATATGCTAACGATGTGGCCAACAAGCGAGGCACTGGAGCTTTGCTCAAAGGCATGCTGGCACGACCTCCCGATCCAGGGCTTGACGCTTCTCTCTGATCCTGTCATGATGCATACTTGTAAAGGAAAAGCGAGCGAGTGACATTTGAATCGCCTTGCTGACATTCCCGGGGTCCACCACTGGCAAGATATACTTTGTTGGTTCTGTAAATGCTTTCTGATTAATTCCTCCCAAATTTTGGTCCATTCTTCGTGTTTTTTCGCGTGCTTTATGTCACCGACTTCAAGGTAACATAACTTTTCGATGCCCAGATGCCTGTGGCTTTAATCACCAAATCAGATCATCAAAAATAGAGGTAATGGAAACTCATAAAAGGGCTTATAATCCTTCCCAACTCGAACGCATTTCCTTCATTCGTAACCTTCAATTGCTTATCATGTTTCACGACTCTTCAGGTCTGGTGAGGTTCGGTAAAAAGGGCTACAAAGCATCGCAAGATCGTGCTGTCCTTACTTGCCATTTTTTGTTGAGCTTTTTAATTAGTAGGCGAAATGAGGACTCAACATGGAGGGGTAAATAAACTTCCGATTCTTTCTCTCACGCCTTAATTAATAACACTGCAACAGTGAGGATAAACAAGAGAAAAAGGGAAGGGGAAGTTATCTTAGTGTGCCCCAATTACAAACTGCCGTAGAAGCTTGCCTCACCTCTGAGATCTGGATGGGAAACACTTGTGGAGAGGAAGATTCATTTCCAGTGTCCAGAAGATCTGAGAGGCTCAATACATGAACAGAGAGCTGATTCGGAGACTGGAGGAGAACTTTTCCCCTCTTTCTGAAGCATCATCTCAACTTTCAGCTTTGGCCATCACTACGTGGTCGATGCGGAGATTGTACATTTAAGGGGAGAAGACATTGCATCCAAGTGGCTTCCACGGATCTGCAATTTTGCCCTCCGCGTGTGTGGCATTAGAAGGATTCGCTAACCTAATCACGCTGAGGGCTAGACGATTCTTTGCAAGAATATGATGGCTAGTATTCGAGTGCCCGGTAGTCTGGCCTAGTTCCCTCCACCTACCGGGGAGGTGAAAGTCACCTTCATGGACATCCGTATCGCACCTCCCGGAGGCTGGACGACTGCCAGCGCGGAGGAGTTTCACAGTGTCATGAGGAGTTTTGACCTACAAAGAAGTCAATTTGACCGTTTATTTGTCTGGGAAATTGAGATTCCCATAAAACAGTCCACCCATGAAATTTGTTCCTCATTTATGGAAGCATTACGGTGTGAAAATGCCTTCATTTTGCAAGGATTGGCTTATTTGTCGAATTAAGCAAAGAAAAGATTTTTTCCACTCTTCTTCTCTCTTACGTCCAGCATCACAGCCCTGGCGTAGTTAGCGCTGGCCTCTGGCCCTTCCCTCTTGGCAGTTGCGTAAATAAAGTAACTAACCAGCACATGGGAAATATCTTTTCTCTAAGAAATTTGTCACTTTTAATCATCAGAAAGGTGAATTTTCACTCATTCTTTTTAGCACTTTAATTAACAGCAATAGCGACAACAGAGAGATGTAAACACGAGCAAACAAAAGGGCTGAAAAATGACTAGGTCGGGCGTTGTGGGTCCATTTGGAAGGTACGCTCAAGCGTGCTCTCCGCCAACCCACACCCCTTCTTTTCCCTCTATTTTAAACTCCCGAGTAGGAAATATAGGTTGGATCTGAACTTAAACGACGCTAAGCAAGGATCCACGACACCAAGGATTATCTATCGATGCAATTCTTCGGTGGGACTCGTTGATGTGCCGAAGGCCAAACAAGTGGACTTGCTCGAATTCTTGCAAGAAAAAACTTCTTCAGAAGCAACCACGAATAGTCGTTAAGTTGAAGGAGAGCCTTCTCTTCTTATTGATACGAAGAGAAACATTCAGGACGACACGTCTCTGCAAAATGGACCACATAACACTGTTTAGGAAGGGAGAGAGATACTGCTTCATCTCCTCTATTTCATTCACGTGGCTAGAGTTAGATTTTGCTTTTAGCGGGAAAATTATAGACTGTGATAGCGAATAAGTTGTATTTCACCCCCTGATTTAATCGCTAAAGAAGCAGTTAGGTATGGCAAAGGGCAAGAAAGCTTATTACTGGTGTTCAAAAGAGCTGGCGAAAGAGCCACAGAGGAGGTCAAACTAGTTAAAACCAGCTGACCTATGCACTCGTCATGGACAGCCATAAGTCGTCGTAATCAGCAGTGGGAATCATGTTATTAGATAAGTGTGTTTATGCCGAATTATCCTAGAAGGATGTTTTTAACCTTTCAAATTTCCGTCTACTTCCTTGCACAAGAGGGGGGCTTGGGATGCTTGTCAAGGCATCGACTCAGTTTTAGCGATACCATTCTTTGCGGTGCGACTCCACTGATTTTAACCATTTAAACCTCACATTCTTCTGTAAAGCTTTGATGTTGTATCCAGTCAAGGAAATAGACACTGTTGTCCATGTGAATCGGGTTCGCTTCATATTCTCAGAGACAGAACAGAAGGTTTATTATGAACTCACAAGGAGGGCTGTGAGACTAGCAGTATGGGTGGCATGAGCGCAGCCTTATTATGCTGGAGTGGCGAACGATGACCAAAAACCCTGTAGAAAGTTTCCTTTACAAACTAAATGGGTCCAACAAGATGACGCATCTGACGCTTAAAAGGGTTATTAAAGGCGACGTGAACACTAATAGCAAGTGCACCTAAGATTATATCGACGTGCCATCAAATAAGTTCTTTTCCACCAAATTATCGAAAGAATCGTCTATTTTGCCTTACCATAAGTTGATTTGATCTCATGCTAAAGCGGTGAAAAGATTGCTTTCAGAAGGCACAAAATAGCCCTTTTCTTTCAACTTCTATCTGTCTGTACATTGTAATCTGCCTTTCGCTTCTTTACTTTCGCTCCTCTAGCTGACTAAACCATCGGGTGTTGGAATGAACTTTAAGGGAACTTGTGACAACCACCCATTTAAAAATTCCTTGCTTAATACAGCAGTTTTGAACGAAAAATTATTTTTTGAAAGAAAGGGATAGGATTCCCCAACACTTTTAAATTTTGGTGTTTGTTTAAACCAATTAAACAAAAGGCTGTGATAGAGGAAGCTATCAATTGCGGACATGATGAATCTACTTGCGAAACCGACTTGGCAGTGATGTCGGCTTTCAACTCCCCTAGGGTCAAATAAAGTGTTATTTTTCCTCTTCAAATAAGCCATTATTGTGTCAGCAGAGCATGTTTTTGTTGAGACGTTTATTTTTTTCACAGAGCTGGACTGACACTAAGGGAATAGACAAACAGACTGACGACCACCAACATTACTGGTGATGACTAAGCTGTTGATTGTAAAAATTTAATAAGTCACCAGGCAGGAATAATTTATGCACCTCATTTCTGCCACAGTAACGGATTTGTTTCCTTTGCCTTATCTTCTTCGGTCACGTAATTTATTCTTTAGGAAATAACATTAACTTAATGATGAGCAGAATGGAACAGAGAGCCTAATACTGCAAATATGGTCCTGCATAACTTCTCTGGATTTTTGCAAGTGTCACCGTTGACGAGCCTCAGGTTTACATTTCTTAAGGGTTCAAGGGAATTGTTAATGGCTGTGCAACGATGAGCTAAGGGGGCGAGGATTAGGTGCCTTTGTTTTGCGTTGTTGACAAAAGAAGAAATTACTGGGAAGTCTGAACTTGTAGGAACTGAAGACCCTACAAAGTAATCGTCTCTACGCATAATCAGCCTCATCCTTACCTTTGTTGCTGTCACAACAAAAAGGCGTACTCTATCCGTCCCATTTTCTTGCTAAGAATGGCGACTAAACAAGGCACATTGCAGCTGATATCTGTGCCACACGTGCAGAAATGGTTAAAATTTGATGGACAGCGTGGGAAAAGGCAAAAATAGTAGCTGCTGAGCTGCCTGCTCAAATCCCTGAGTGGCGGTGGTTAGAGCACGGCGTTATACTGACTGACTAACTAGTTGATTGATAGCTTGAGGACTGGCTGACTAACCACTTGTCTTTTGGGCTTATCAATAATAAAAAGAGAGTGGTTAATCGAAAAGTGATGGGGGTGAGTCACGCAGGTTTCGGAATATTGCCGTAAATTAAAAGCCACTTAAATTAAGGAGTTTAAATGCGCGGACTCCACAACCCCTGCCAGTTGGGGTGACCATCCTTGTGACACTGCATCACGACTATTCCGCTAAATTTGCAGCCCTTCAGTTTGTTGGCGGTAAATCTTTCCTCGCTAGTATTCATTGATAGACTCTTCGATGTGACTTGAGGCCGTAAATTGGCGGTGGCAGTGGTGAGGCGATACAAAATAGCCCATTAATCCTATCTTTATGCCATTTTAGACCAATCCATTTAAAGACAAAAGATTTTTTCTTATTCTTTAATAATCCTTCCTAATTTGAGCAGAGTGTAGACTTTCAATCGGACGGGGGAACCAGGTCCCACCCAAATATCTGCTTAATAATTCTCAATATATTTCAGTCAAGAGGATCAGCCACTTGACTTTTGATAACCTTTGAAATAATTCACTGTCATTGTTAACGAGGATTAGCTTTAGCGTCGGAATTCACATCAAGTTTCAAAGGTGAGGGTGTCATTCTAGGCGCCTTATTATATATAAGTAGTATACGCTGATGGACGTTGTAGAATAATTTAAACTTCTGCATAAAATTATAGCCCTTTGAAAAAGGAATAACGAAATAAAATCTCCTTGTAAAATTTGCATAAATGAGCTCTCTCTTTCTCATTTTCTCTGAGCCAATCAAAGTGTCGCAAATAAGTGACTTTGTTCGAAGTCTTAATGGTTGGGTCATTAAACCCTCCCCTCCTTCAAAGTTGACATTTGTGGCGAGTTACTTTATTGTACCAAAAAATATCTTTAATCCTAGGATGGAAGTGAAACCCGCATTATTTGAGATGTGGACTGCATCACTGGTGCTACTCTGAATGATGAAAAAGTAAACAAGAGGTGGGATAAGCGGAAGGGATTATTTTTAACGAGAAATCATCACTGGCGTAGTAATTTCTCCCCAAGGACATTTAAGACGAAGTCCTCTCTGCTCTTGACGTGCCGAAGCGCAAGCCTCACCAAGGGTTTTCCCTCAAATCGTTGACATCTAGAAAACCAAAAGGTTTGAATACCAAAGAGAACGGAACCCTCGTTCGTAATCTACTCAGCGCTTTGCGGTAGCCCTACAGTCAAGAAACCTTCGATGATTTTCAAATACACAACTTTCCAGTTAGTGACTGCCTTTAAAACAATTTAGATTTTGTGGTGAGCATATGATTACAAAGTAGAGGGAAAATTGAGGGCTAGGTATGCTCCACCCATCATCCTTAAATGAAGGAGATAGTGAGCACAAAAATAAGTTCCCAAACAGCTTGACATATTTCAAAATTCCTCAAAGACCCTTATTTCTCTCAGCTACTAATTTTAAAGAAAGTAATCCAATCCCTACTTCCTGTAGGGGAGGGAGGGTTTGTTTCAATGTCCTAGTGTTGTTTTCAAATTGGATGGGCAGTCGAGCGGAAAAAAATTGGTCTGCTGCTTTTCTCTTTCCATAGAAATGACATGGACTTCTGCATCTGATTGATACATACTTCAATTCCTCAGTGTATAAAAGGTCTGCTGGTAATCTTCGAATATAATTGGTCACCTGGTTGTCGGTATGACATGCTTGATTGGATACACTTTTTTAGGAGAAAAGTGGTGAAGAGCGACTCCCCACCTGGCTGAGCAGACCCCATCAATCCATCCCAGAGGAGGAAGCGACAAACTCTGCTCCACACACATAGCCTACAATGCCAGCATGCAAGATGTTCTGCTCTAAACCACCCTCGCCATCCATTTGATCTTAAACTGTAAGTAGATACCACGTTTAAGACCAATTTTAACCAATGTTGGGGAATAAATAATAGCTTTTGTAAACACGAATAAGAAAAAGCTTGCAAATGTAATTGACGATATCATGTAGCACCCCGAAGGTTCCCTGAATACGAAGGAGGACGTAATACGCGGCCTGATTCTGTAATGCCGGCGTACAGAAGGCCAGTGCCTACTGACTTGGGTTAGGGGCCAGACCACCAGCCGTGGGTACATTGACGGAGCCACCACGTGGCCCCTGTTTGGCCTTCTAAAAGGAGTGTTTCCCTTACTAGTCAGGTGACAATTATTCAATATCCTGCCACTTAGCTACAAAGGGTAGAGAAGCATGGTTTCCTAGCCGGATCAGTGCATTCTTGCCTACTTTTGCTTTAAAACGTCGTTAACGCATTTAAAATGGGCTGATTGGACAGGTTAGGCTACACAAACCCTTTTTTAGGCTATTTCTCTTGATGAAAACGTTTTTCTTTCCGTTTTTGGTAGACGGAAAGACATTTGCTTGCCAAAAAGCGTTTTGTGCCCATCCAGCTCCACCTCCTCCTTTCCCCGCTTTCTGTCTCCACAGTGATATGCACATTGGAGAACGCTGACAACTGGGATGTCATAAAGCCGCTGGAGACATGACAAAAATCCCACTTTGTCCTGTCTATGATCTGAAGAAGGAGAGAAAGGAAAGGAGGCATTGAATTAGCGTCTGTTGTCGCCGTCACTTTCACTCCTGCTCTTGCTTCTCCTCCTTCTGTCACAAGTGAAAGGGGAGAGTGGAAAAAAACAAGCATTAAACTCTTTTTGTTACATTTTATCCAGCGGAAAAGGGAAAGGAAAAGCATGTTCAACTCTGGATTGGGACTGATCAGATTAAAATTTGATTATACCAATGGAAAGCACAAGATTTGGGGATATTTATCCTTGCGCAAATGGCATGACATATCTAAAAAACTTAGAAAAATTTCCCTTTTTCCAACAAATATTTTTGCTCATTTTGGTCGTTTGTAGCTCTGTAGGGTCTTTTTAGTCCTTCGATGCTAAAGCTCCAATCCAGTTGGTTGTTTGAAGCTTTGCTCATGTCACGTCTTTGCTTCTGGCCTCAAAGTTCGTCAATCATTAGGCTACCCCTAGACTTCTTGTCTCGAAAAGTAGCAAAAAATAACTTGGAGACCAGAAATTTAGCTGGGTTTCTGTAAGATAGGTCTAGCTAACTGCTGACATTCAACAGATGCTTTTGTGCGGATCCGGGCTTGTCGTTCGTGTCAAAAAATTAAGTCTACCATAAGCTAATTAATTTCCATCTCACTGAATGTCAAGAAGACTATTATTCGGATTGCTGAAAAAGCCACTTTATAATAAATAATCATCATATGGTCGGAAAAATACAAAATCGAAGTAAAATTAAGTAGGTTATGTCGCTAGATTTTGAATGGTTGGAAAATCACCGGAATATACAAGTAATTTTCCAGTGGCGAAGTTGTTTAATGGAGAAAGGAGTTTATAGTTCTCATATGGGTAATTATGAACTATTTATATGAATTAAAACAAAACTTTAAGAGCGTTTACAACACGCGTTCTGCAGTCAGCTGTTTAAACAGCTGATTGGCACTTGGTCGCTGATTAATCAGCTGATAGGTGTTAACGGCGATCGATCGATCGATACGTCAAAAGTTGACTGATCATCTGATTTAGCAAATTAGCGAACAATCGCCAATTAAATAGGTGTTTTAAATCTTAGAAGCTTCACGGTTTTTCTCACCTCTTTTTGACCCCAAAGAGCCACTCGAGTGACCCGGATGACTAGGTCACGCTAGAGGTACAAATGTCTCTAGTTTAGCATTAGAATACCATTAAAACAGTCAAATACGATAAATTTATCCTCTATGTCGGGTTAAAGCTCCGAATACCTACAATAAAGTCCTGCAAGCCTTTGTCAACTGCTCTAGCCCCAAGGATTGAGGAGATTGGAGCATCTCAAGGTAGTTTTACTCCACTGTAAACAGAATAACTAAGTTGGAGGTTTAACCACCCTGTGCCTCTCCACATGGCTTTGTAACGCTAAATCGGTAACAAAGTTGAAAGAAGTAATTAAAACTGGATGCAGCCCCAATGCTCTACTCCACCCTTTAAAATGGCAAAATGCCCTTCTAGGCCTACCCAGCTCCTCCTCCACCTCTCATTTTGTCTAATAGGAGGTAATTGCACCGACATTCTTGGAGATTTGTTTACAAGAAATCCTAGTAATAAATCATTTACCTAAATATTCTTAAATCCTTGGTAGGGACTGCTTATCATTAAAAAGATTGTAACAGTTAATGAGTTTTATGTGTGTCTTTTAAGCTTTTAGCCTGTTTGGCACTATGCCAAAGAGTGTTATTATTATCCGTGTTTGGATATCTGTTTTTCCTCCAAAAGCTGGGTCTTAACCACAGGGTGTGTTGGAAGAAATTTTCATCCACGGAAAGTAGTAAGGCACCGACTGACCATCTCGGTTTATGCATGACTCTTGATGGCGACTTGGAGAGTTCAACATTTATTTTATTGTTTTAAATTTAATTAATTAGTTTGAGACAGAATTTATTTTATCCGGTTATCGTGAGAGTGTGAAGATCAAGCATTACGCGATTGCGTCGGTGGGATCTAGTAAGAGATCTGGGGCGTCACATATGCGTGACACTGATAGCGAAGATATTCACATGTTGCTTTTAAGTAGATGCTACCATACTTCAGTTTCAAGAATGACAAATCTTTTTAGTCATTCAATTTTGTTGTGAATTAGCAAAAAAATTTATACAAAACTTAAAAGAATTGATACTCTCTTTCTAAGTAATTACTACAAAGTAATAAAGCAAAATTCTTCATTTTTCACTATTCTGTTAATAAACAGACTTCCTTAAACAGAGGGTTCAAGTTAGCAGAAGTATTTATTTTCCTCTAAAAAAAATAAAAAGGAATAAGAGAAAAGGACAGTCAACTCTGTGCAATTACTTTCGCACTTCCAGACTGCGGCAGTCCCCAGAGACGTCGGTGTTGTAACGCTTGCTTCTCTTCCTCTACCTCCTTCTTTTTCTTTTTGCTACATTTGGAATTTCCGTGTTATCAATCATTTATCCACCTTGCATGCTTCCTTGTCACCACAAAATATATATTTTCTCTTTTTAAAACGAATTTAGCCAGGAGCATGTCAAAAACCCCGCTTTTTATGTCCAACTTTAAAACGGAGCATGAGGAGGTTGTAGCTCCTCATCCGGTGAGGAGTAGTTTAACAAACTAAAGGAGTGAAAACACTGAAAAGGAGTTTCTTCCCGAAGTTTTTTTTTTATTTGGTCAAATGAACAGCTGTAGGGTTGGCGGGATAGATATGGCTCATCGCAGACCCACTTCCAAAGTCCTCTAGTGTTGGAAAACCTACCTTTTAATTTGAGAGACACAATCTAGTCTCGTAATATTTTAGATGCAAAAGAGGGAATTAAGTAGTTTACAAAAGTGGGAATGTATGCTGCCCTAGCGTCACATATTCGTGACGCTTGGATTTCTTCCTTTTTGAATTAGATATTCAAGAGGTGAGTGCGCTAAATTGTGCATCTTAGTCAAAAGCTTTGGATTTATAACACTAATGTAGGAGTGGGAACAGTAGAGTTAGTCTGTTTAATAGTGCAAATAGTGGTGGCGGAAGATACTACTTACTACCATAGGGAGTAGCTGGCAGATTATTAGCAGGGCCCAAAGGCCGCAGTGTGGAAATACAACCTTCAGCGATCAAAGAGTCAAAGCAGTTTATCACAAACAGTTAAACAAAGGCATCAGATTACTACTTTCAGTCGTCCTTAGTTGGAAAGGTACGTCGTGAGGGGGGGGGTAAGGAAAAGGTCTGAAATTGTTATAGATTCTCTTTTTTACCAAAACATTATGATACTGCAACAAGTTACTTAGAGTGGAAGACGACGAGGTAATACTGAAGGACGGAGCCAAATTGACTTCCGCACCTCGGCTTATTGTGAGATTATGCAGCTACACCCTGCGATCGGGTCAGTGAGTGAAAGCAATTCCTCGGACTGGTCCCCTTCCACTTTAAATGAAAGGTGAACTCTTTTTAAAATTAAGTGTGTTAAAGTTGTCTACGGAATAGATAGCCCTCTTCAAGGGTCCAAAATATATAAAGCCAACTTTTCATGCTTCCTATCGTTTACAATTGCAGTTAACTCACATTTGGTGAATTAATGAACTGTTGTCCTAATTTAGAGTAGACTGATGACTATTTTGATACTTCCTGGAAATTATTTGTCACAATCCAACTTTATGTCATTTTTAAACTTGGCGATTCCTTCCTGATCGTTGATTGGTTGATGGAACCGATTGATTAGAAGGTAGCCAATGAGATGCAAGCTGGCAGCAGTTAAAAGCTCTAAATGGCTCTACTAGCATACTGACGATGAGTTCTTATAATATTGTAGTTCTGTGATAGTTTGTTCAGCTTAGTGTTTGATGATGCATGCAATTAAGGCTCCGCCAATTGTACCTGCTCTCGGTGGCATGACCTTCGGATATTACCAGTAGTTTCCACCCGTTCTCTACACTGGTAGCACATTTTCTGTCCTCGTTGATAGCTTCTTGAACTTTGGGAAGGCCTCCAGCCGTAACATAGGTGGCAACGGCAAGCAAACCCTATGCTAAGGAACAAATAATCTGATTTTCTATTCCGAACGGTAGACCATACCATGACAAGAGAATGACATCTGCAGCTTAGAGCTAAAAAAGATGCTTATTTTAGACGTGTTTTACAGGAATGCTATTAGAGATGAGGTGGCACTAGCCATATACCATCTAGAACAGTTCGTCACGGAGCTCTACCTCTCTGTAGATGTCCCTTAAGTTAACGCGCAATACATCTGCCACCTCTCGCCGAGTCAGATAGAACCAGGGTGAATTTATGGACTGGCAGCACCGAAGGAAATGCAAAGTGGCAAGAATGAATGGACGCGCAACTATATCCCCACAAAACTATTTTTAACCCCATCCTTTATTAAATAACTCCGCTTTTCGGATGATGGATGGTTTGGTGTTCTCAAACATGACGACGAAACCTCTAAACCAGTAGATTTGCCAAGATAAATCAGTAGTGTGGCAGTCAGATACCTTCCTATTTACACGCAAATTCGATAACTAGGGTGGTTCATTCGAGAGTATCTTTCTCATAGTAGCGACTACATTTTGATGGCTGAATCGGGGAGGGGTGTCCAAGGGGAGTACCGAGGAAGCCGATCAAAAGGATCTTTCTCGTTACACTTTGTCAACTTAAGTCTATGTGTTGGTTACGCAGGCACATAAGGCTCCGCACTTGTAATTTCGCTAGGCAGCGTGGTCTCTCAGCCATGCTAATAGCCCCCTTAACTCCCCTCTACGTCGGCAATTGATATTATTTTTAAATCGGTCCGCTTCCTGTCCAATGGGTAGTTGAATCGATCCCATATTAAAGTTACTAGGGAGGACCTGGTTAACCTAGCAAAAGATGCGTCCTTTTCCATCATATCTTACTAAGAAACAAGATTAATTTTTTAAGGACATGTTTTTAAATTCAAGTAGGGTGGTTGAGACGTCGCCCTGTCACCCCTCATGCCAATCACGTAGGCGGGGATTTGCTTACAGACGAGTGGAGGAGTTGAGCAGGAATTTTGGAATTAAATCAATGGCGTATTAAGCACCAAACACAAGTGATTCGTTCGGCGTGAATTTGTGTCAATTCTGCCAAAAGAAGTGCCAAACTGTCTACATTAAAAACTGCTCACTGGGGTAGATGTCAGTTGTTCAATATCAAGCATTGAAATAAGAGACGCTTAATTCGATTAAGTAGTATCGGATCCTAGTGCACGGTGTCTCTGGTATTTTTATGCCCCTTAACTGTCTTTAAGCTCCTGTTTCATAGTTAAAAATTATGGCGAAACAACACAGCCTTTAAGTACTCGCGTATAGCTCTCTCCATTATGGGTCTAGCCTTAAAACTGATGCACTTGAGAACAAAGAGAAGTATTGTTAAGCGTTAATGCTCCCCACGTTGCGCGCGGGAGGCCTAAAAGTGAGATCCGACTGTAATAGACACATGTATCAATATTTCAAACACTTACCGGTTCCATACCTCCAACTTGGCCCCCTTAAAAGGGCAACTTTCGGGGCTTCACTACACTAAGTTTAGCCTCTGGGATACCTGAACCAGAAATTCCACGAGTAAAAGACTGGATGGAACCCGTATTGCTTATTATTAGCCATTTGGGTTACTATTTCATATCTAGAGAGGGAATGAAAATGTTACCTTTAATCGGTTGGGTTTCTGGAGTGGCCATTTACTAATTTGACACAATGGGTTGGAAGTATGCTCGTAAAGAGTCGTTTGACTGATTGGCATGTTCGTTATAGTAGAAGACTTGGCGTTGCTGTAAAATTCCACTCTGAAGTCTTCCAGCAGTGGAACTCAATCCTACTTAAGAGTGGCACCACTTTCAAAACCGCCGATTGACATGGATAGGTGGCTGCGAGTCATGAGTTACGCCTCCTCAGCGACAGTCGTTAGTCATGATCGTAAAAATGATCCTCCTGATGGGGATGCCCGCAACTCCGAAAAGACGTTCCCACTCGAATTTCCAGGATTTCCGATTGATGGCTGATCGGTGGACATCCCAGAGACTCGTGCTATCGCCCAGTTCTCCCTACTTGGCACATATCGTATGGAGATGCGCTTCAAGTGTACCGGTAATAGCGCGAAGGTCAAGGTCACTCAATTACTAACACCCACGCACTCCGACTCAGCCTCTCGCATCCACCAATGCCCACTCAACGCCTTTTTCTGAAGTCTTTATCCTTTGATTATGTAGCTGGCTACGCGAGCGTAGTGAATCCAGTCCACAGCATTTGACAATTGGCTCAGTCCATAACACTTCCCGGGATCCGAAATCCTGCTTCACCGCCTTGTGTGTATGTTGAAAGATGTTGTGATTAATTTCTACACCTCCTCCACAATCGTCTCATTTTTTGACATCACTTTGGTAGGGGACAGGCGACAAACACAAGTGGCCCAGATACAGGTGTAAGAAGAGGTGTCTGGTGTCTTTAAAACCTGACTTCAGCCCATTAAAAGTTACAAAATTAACTTTTTTGGGTAGGGAGGGGTAGGCGAGCGACTCAGTTTGTGCAAATAAATTTAAGGACCAGTCGTATAAGATTGTCGCAGTGGTGGAGGGCGACATAATTGTGGCACCTTTTCGACTACTCGGGCGCATTTCTCAAGAGCTGTGAGCAAATATGAGGAGAGTAGCGCTAAGCTTTGTAATTCCAGGTTTGTCAAGCCCCTCTGACCTAAAAACTCGAACGGTGATTAAATCTGTCCGCTTGAAGTTAAGGAATTACAGCAACCAAGTTCTCTGACTTTAGGGAGACAGGAAATCGTGAGCAAGGCCTCTAAAATTCAGAACCTGGTGTAAAAAAAATGAGGTAACAAATAGGGAGCTTTTGTTTTTATCTACCCCAATTAAGCACCCGTAAATTGGAGAGAATAATTTATCAATCAACTTATCCATTTCTTAAGCAAGAGCTGGTAAATCTTCACCGACGCGTAACATTTGCCGTCAGTCCGAATTCCCACTAATTGAAAGCGATGTCTCCAGAGCCCTTAAGAAAACTGTCAAAACAAATCAACACACATTAGCATCAAATCGTAAAGCTTTGGGGCGAAGTCCTTCTCGTGAGTTTCTCTCTCCCTCTCCGGTTTAAAGCTAATTTGCAGTTTGTACTTCGTCAGCCTTTTGATTTCTGTCAATTGTTCATTTCAGGTCCGTAGTGCGTTTCCAGAGAGCAGATAATGGACTGCACAATGCCTGGATGCAAATACAATGCCAGCTTTACTTCCTTGAGAGTCAGTTCTACATCTTCCACCTTTATTCACTATTTTGGCTAACGAAACGCAAAATGTGCAATAAAGGTAACCCTGACGTGTACTACTGAATTTGCGTTAGTAGATCTGCTTCCAAAATTAGACGATTTCAGAGCTTGCAACAGAAAAAGAAGTATGTATTCGAAGTTCTAACTAACCACACACACTCCTTGTTCCACACACAGCTACATCTAAGCCGGTTTGGATGTTGCACCCCTCGTCTCCCCTAGAACGTGTGAGATTTATCCCTAACCCATGGAAGGCCTAACCGCAAGCAAAGCAAAACAGCGCTTTGTTATATTACATCCAAACTGGATATCTTTCAATGACATTCCAAAGAATGCCAGTCAGAGGTGTTAGTGTCAGTGATGCATTCCTCCAACCGAAAGGGCACACTTCCCGTTGCCGGAAATCGGCTTCGGTGTTCCAACCCTTCTATATCACCCTGATAAACCAATTACGCACGTTGGTACCTCATAGCCCAGTGGTTATCAGGTAACTCCAAAAAAGTGTGATTTTCAGTTCAACGCGATAAAATGACTTTTGATAACTGGTGGAGGATTGCCAAATGCATAAAACTGTTTAGCTACATTATAATGCAGAAATTCGCCTCCATCTAGCACAAAAATATTGGCCGAACTAACCTG